CAGTCATGAACGTGTCATAAACATTATGTCAATGTCATAAACGTTGTCATTATGTGTCATTCGGTTTTTGAGATGACAAGTTGACATTGTTTGGGTTGTCTTGATTATGACAACTTCGTCATAAGAGTGACATGACACTGTCATAACTGTTACATGACACATGTAACAGTTATGACAGTGTCATGTCACTCTTATGACGGTACCTTCAAGTAAAGTGTAACTCAAATGTTTTATTTTTATTTGGGATAAATCGTGTTTTTTGTGCTGCGTATCCAATAATACAGATCCCATTAGCATTGGCATACGAGCTGCAATTCTAGTGTACAATCGGGGTTCTATTGGTCCCCACCACCCAAAGGGTAGGTCGGAGGACTATAGATTTAGGTCGCATCAGTTCATGCATGCGTGCCTTCGTCCATCCAGATCTATTAATCTGCAACTATATGCAGCAGCCTTGTCACTTAACACTGACTTTATGACCTTTACCTTCATGTCTCTACCTCTTTTGTGACCTCTGACCTTTTGATTGATGACCTCCATCACTGGTTTTTGTCTCAAGATTACATCTCAGACACTGCTGACAGCACCCTTTCGAAATTGCTTGCGTAAGTCTGGCCTTATCCTCTGTCTTTGTTATTACTTTACAAAAAGAAGGGAGATAACACCGTCCCACTTCTGTCTATGATGAGTTCTAGTCTAGTTGGCTGGTAAATGGATCTAAGCAGGATTTTCGAACCACCTGCATCAAACTAAAGTAAAAAAAAAAAAAAAAAAAAGGGGCATAAGGGGCATTTTTTTTAGTGAATTCCTAGATGCAAATAGCATTGATTTTAAAATCATTAACCCTCATATGTCCCTTTTTTTTTTTTTTTTTTTTTTTTTTTTAATAAATCAAAAAAGGATTATTAATTTTCCTCAAGTCCTCAAAGCTGTTGGATGTTTACTGGAGTGTTTATAAACTATAGAAATATAATTTTATGTTGGCATTGATTAGTTGACTTTGGGTTGATCTGATCGAAGTCTTTAAATATGCAAAACACATTTAAAAAGTTAACTATGCGGGATTATTTAGGCAGAGTTCCTTGCGAAGACCTCTGGGTCATAAATGGAAGTTGGCTAAGGGTAAATTTAGCACTGTTACTGGGAATTTTTTTCATGCAGAGTGATCAAAGTGTGGAATAGCTTGCCTGGTCATGTCGTGGAGGCAGAAACTTTGGGAGTTTTCAACACCTGGCTTGATACAGTGCTAGATGCCATCTATTCCGTAGTTAAAGTGTTAGGTTCACTTCAGTGATGGGACATTAGCTAGTCTCGTTGGGCTGAATGGCCTGTTCTTGCCGCTCATGCTTTTATGTTATGAGAGCCATGTTAGGTACTCTTGTTTCCGGCCACCTTCCAAAGACATGCACGTCAGGCTAATTGGAGACTTAAAATCTCCCATAGATGTGAGTGTGTGAGTGAATGATGTGTGAGTGGTGTGTGCACCCTGCGATAGGCTAGCTGCCCACAGTGTGTCCCTGCCTTTAGCTCATAGTCTGCTGGGATTGGCTCCAGGTCCCCCATGACCTCAGTGAGGAAGAAGCAGTATAGCTAGTGAATGAATGGGCGGACATTATTGGACTTGTCTAGTTTCTTGGAGCATTATAGGCTGCCCTGGGCAAAAACTCTCCTCAGTGGGGGAGAAAACATAGGTTGCAGGTTAACAGGGTTTGTTTAAACTCGAGGTCCAAATTAAAGCCCTGCAACTTGAATTCTGATGTCAGCAGTTCCATCTCTCACTGGGGAAGATACTGAGGCTACGTTCACATACGGTCTTTTTTTGCTTGGCAAAGTCCCCAACTCCTTGAAAATGACCTGGAAGTTATTTACAAGGCAGCCATGATGAGCACTTGTCAAATTCTCTAAATGTTAAGGAAAGGTATTTCAATGCTTCCTAACTAGTCACCTTTAGCACAGGGTACACTGGACCATCCTTGACGAAAAGAAAGGCGATAATGGCGTACCACAATTCCCTGCTGCAGCAATATTTAAAGCGACGCACCATCCATTCTGCATTTCACAAAAACAAATGGACGTGACGGGCAAGGGACACATGATTACGTTGCTTGGGTAAGTGCAGTCAGATTAACTAAGCACCACAGTTGCCTTGCCCTAAATTTTTATGCAGTCTCTTTTTCATGTTTCCGTGACCTCATGATGTTTCTCCATCAATGTTCAACACAAGCGGTACAGAACTGGATGAAAGGACATTTTTTTGACGACTCAAATGCAGCCAGAGTTTGTAGAATGCGATAAGGGTTAGCTGTCCCAGTTGACACCAGGTCTGAAAACTTATGGCAAGCGGAGCGGCAGAACTCTGTATCTGATTCAAGGATGTGGTGGTTTTAATTTCAGTTCCTGAAATGCACTCAATTGTATGTGTGTTTGGAGCTGGTGTGATCCCATCGCAAAATCCTCTGTAGTTTGTAGTTTGAATGGATTTTCTCTTAATTTCCTAAAGTTTACATGTGACTGACCTAAATGTATATAGAGGTCTGGTGAACTGTACAGACATATTGAGTGGGCAGAGATATTATATTCAAGGCTCCAAGGTAAAGTACAAACCACTGAATTAAATGGGCAGGTAAGTAAATATGAGAGAGTCTGGCTGCAGTCCACTTGTGCAGTACTATTACTGAATTATAGTTTCTTCCCTGTCACAGCAAGGTTCCCAGCTTTCCTCGGTGCAGACAGTGTGTTCACACCAACACAAATGGAGATATCTTTCACACTAGGATGTTTCCGTTAGCTGGAAGGTTAAGATTGTTGCCATTAGTCATCCATTTTAAGATGTCACAGAAACTGGCCGTGATGAGCGATTAGATTTGGTCCCTCGGGTGCGCTAACAGTCTTGTGGGTGGTGAGATGATTTTGTCCCTCAGGCTCACTCAGAAGGGTACAGAGGAGTTCCCACTCAGCCCCACGGCGGTTTATCGTACAGCCTCGCTGTAGTCAGGTGGCGCACTATGCCACTCATCACCTCTCTGGTGCAGAAACTCTCAGTCTTACACCATTAAATTTAAGCCTTTTATTCAGGATACCACCTGTGTATCTATGTACCATCTGCCTTGGTGCCTGGGTTTGCCATGTTCCTTGGTCGAGATGCATGTGCTGTTACTTAATGATATTGTCTGTTGCCTGTTGGTTGATAACTGTCTATTAAAATACGGCTTGTAGATGATGGCCACAGTTCAGTTCATTAGCTGGTTGCCTCCTCAAGCATTTCCACACTAGGCTTAGGCCTGAATAGGGCAGCATGGTGGCGCAGTGGTTAGCACTACTACCTCATAGCAAGAAGGTTCTGGGTTTGAATCCGTCCTGGGGCCTTTCTGTGTGGAGTTTTTATGTTCTCCTCGTGTTCGCGTGGGTTTCCTCCGGGTACTTCTGTTTCCCCCACCTACAAAAACATGCATTATAGGAACACTCCTACCAGTACCCCTGACCAAGGATCTGGCTTTAGAACTGGAGTTAGTCCCCAGGCGCTGCTCTGTGGCTGCCCACTGCTCCAAACAATAGGATGGGTCAAATGCAGAGAACAAATTACCCCACGGGGTTCAACAAAGTGTATCTTATCTCTCTTAATATTTTCCCCCACAGCCCTGAACAAATATTCTATAGTGTTCTTTGTGAAAATGAATGTAATTAGTTAATTACTATCTTGCATCTCTGGATCATGTGTTTCAACTTAAATTTCCTTTAAAAGAAAAAAAAATCATTAATACACTGGTATAGATGTTTGTAAGGGTTCTTTTATGACCTCCTGGATAACTTGTTGATGCGCTCTTGGAGGAATTTTTGGTAGAATGGCCACTCCTCAGAAAGTTCACCACTCTTTCAAGTTTTCTTCATTTGTTGATGATGGTTCTCACCATTAGCTGGAGTCCTAGAGCCTGAGAGAAGGCTTTGCAACCCTTTCCAGACTGAAAGATGTCAACAACTTTGTTTCTTATGCTATTGAATTTCTTCAGATCGCAGCAGCTTTTTGCTTCTTCACATTGCCAGACAAACGCTATTTAATTGTTGTTCATATTTAACAGGGCTGGCAGTAATCATGCCTGGGTGTGACAAGTGAAATTGAATAGTTTTCAGATAAACTTGTTTAATTTTTTGATTAAGTAACTAAGCGGGCAATTACTTTTCCACACCGGGCCAAGTTGGGTTGGATAGCTTTTTTCCTTCAATAAAGGAAAACATAATTTGAAGACCTCATTTTGTGTTTACTCGAGATATAATTGACTAATATGAAAAATAGTTTGATAATCTGAAACATTTAAGTTTGACAAATATGAAAAATAGACCAAAGAGGACATTTACTTCTCACAGCATGATAATAAATGTCTCACCTCCACCTCAGCATCCACCTGTGAGCCCTGAATATTGGCCCAGGGGAGGGTGGTATAGCCTCATAATCCCTGCTCCCTCATCCTCAAGCTAACTAGGCTGCAGAGTGCGTCAGGGTCGGAGCCCACATGGCAAACTGTAATCATACCTATTTTTTAAGGCAGAATTTAATTGTTTACACTTTTCACCGACTGAAATCCCATTCGCTGTATAAAAACATAAAGGCGATAATGAAACCGGGTGTACTTGCTTTAAGATGGCAGTCCCAGATGAACCTTTCAAAACTGGTTTTTTTTTGGGGAAGAAAAAAAAAAACATGGCGGTGGAAGTAAATAAAATGAGACGTGTAAATGATGTGACAATGAGATTTCTATTCTTAACGATGCCAGTTTGTGCATAGCGGTTCGCAGAGTTGCTGCATTATTAAGGCTTATGGGAGAGTGAGTCATGGGACCTTGCTTAAAAGGAAAAATACATGCTGTTGCCAGCTCTACTCAACAAAAGCCGAATGATTGGTCTCTTCAAAAAAATCAGTTTATGTCAGCTGAGGATGGGCATGGGGCTATGTGTGATGTTGAGTTGGATGTTAGTTAATTTCTGAATGTTTCTTGTCTTGAGGTGGCATGGTAGTGCAGTGGTTAGCACTGTTGCCTCACAGCAAGAAGATTGTGGGTTTGAATTCAGCCTGGGGCCTTTCTGTGTGGACCTTGCATGTTCTCCTTGTGTTCCTGTGGGTTTGCTCTGGTTTCCCCTACCCAGAAAAACATGCATTATAGGAACACTCCTGCTAGTACCCCTGACCAAGGAACTGGAGTTGGTCCCCAGGCACTGCTCTGTGGCTGCCCACTGCTCCTAACCATAGGATGGGTTAAATGCAGAGGATGAATTACCATACAGGGTTCAATAAAGTGTATCTTGTCTATCTCCTTCATTTTTAGTTAGTAAGAATGCATTTGATAGTAGATTGGCTAAGTGTTCAAAAATGAATAAATTATTGACTTGGGAGTAAACATCACAAGGTCTCCATAGCCTGTAGATCTGCTAAAAAATGCAGACCACAAATGCATCATCCTGTGTGGTATATTCATCAGCAATCCTGGTCTTTGGAGTCATTTACCTTATGGATGGTATTTGCATCATAACAGAACACAACAATGAGCTCACAATATTGATGGACATATATAGTCTGCCTCTCACGTATATTAACACCTGCTAAAGGTAATTTATTAGGGAAAATAGGTTTGAACTATTCTTATGGGATAATGTACCGATGGGAACTAGAATCAACCTTTTCCAGTGTTTCTCTTCATCATATTTCTCTTGTTAATGAGTAGATTTATGGTCTGCTTACTTAAGCTTAGTAAATATTATGGAGGGGGTAATCTGCATGATTTAATATGGGCTTCAGGTTACCTCAGTTTTTAATGTCTCATTCTGAGTGTTCACATTCCAGGGCTGTGTTTGCAAGCATACTAATGAGTACCTCAATCCATTCGCAGAAAAAACTAGAGTATAAGGTTTTCAGTGTATGTTTTTTTTTTTTTTTTTTTTTACAGTAAGTCAATAAGCCTTTGGATATGTTCTCCAGAGAAAGTTCATAGTTGAAACCACAAAAGCATTTTTCAATGCTTGGTACTGTATCCCTAAACAATTGCTTACTGCGTTGCTTTACTGAGTGTTTTCATTTTACGGTGAACAAAGCGAAAAGAATATTGGAAAAGAATATTAATCATCATAAATACTGAGGAGAAAAAATAAACCCTGCAGTGCCGAGCTGGGTGAAAACTAGCAGAGGAAGGAGATATTCTATATGTGGAACCAGTGGGAAATGGAGGACTTCTCTCTTTGGGAGTTAGCTGGTGATTCATTCTCAACAGACCTTCATAAGTCTTCTATGCGTGTAAGGTACATTCCTCTGTGTGGTGAGGTCACCGATTCTGGATTCACATGATTCCCTCTGAGGCCTGCTTTTTATTGCTCTCCCTGGGAAGACAGGGGTATAAATAATAACTTTAACGCTGGCCAGCAGAGGACGAAGAGGAGTCACCGCACTCCGCAGTCATTGCTCAAGAGCATCTCTCATATTGTGCTTCACAAACACAGCTGCATTCAAAACCAGCTTTTATTTCCTCTTATCAGCTTGCATTTCCTTGTTTTATAATAGCTAGGAAAATTGGGCCTTTTTTCTCATCATTGGTTAAAGTACTTTAAACCCACTCCGTGCAGCCATTTAACAGATTGTCCTCTCCGCGAGCAAAATGCTCATAAATAAACAAGCCTTTAGTCATTGTTAAGGCATTTTGTTCAATAAAATTAATGGCATGCTTTTGGATAGTTTATAAGTGCATAACAGGATATAATTTACCAAAAAAAAAAAATAAGTGGGCTAATTGCCTTTTAAAATATTAGTGATATTTTTTTAGTCTTCTTTGATGAGTCCGGAGGTTTTTTTTTGTTCGTTTTTTTTTTTTTCTTTCGATTTGGAAGACATTTAGCCAGTATTTCGATGTTTATCTCTTTTTGGACACTATAACTGAGGTAATCAACAGTAAGCAGTCAAATTACTTTGGTCAATTAACTTAAGAGCTTGTTGGCCCATAAATACAAATCTTTCGATTAGGGGTCACACGCGAGTGTAGGTTTCTATTGTAGCCCCACATGTAAACACCTCATTCAACTAATTACAGTCTTTGGTTAATAAAAGATTTGAGTGAGGTGTCAGAATACATTTTTTTTTTGCTAACTCCAGCCTTTCACCTGTAAGTCTGGATGTCCCTCTGCAGTCTGAATAACTGCAGACATCCAACAGAATGCAGGTGGTTTGTCAAGACAATCTGTTTTTTTAAGGAGTAGGTCTAGAGTTTAATGTAAACCTTTGTAGTCTCGATGCAGTATAATGTATTTCATTGTTTTCTTGCTTACCAGGTAGTGAGAAGCTTGCCAACACTGCTGAGTAATTATGACAGATTGCATCCTAAAAGATAATAGCTCACCACAATTTTGATGTGCAATTTTTCATGCATGTGCAAATATATATACACTACCCCAATTCCGAAATAGTTGGGACAAAGTGTAAAGTGTGAATAAAATCAAAACGCAATGACTTTCAAATCACACCAGCCAGTATTTTATTCACAATAGAACAGAGATAACAGCAAATGTTGAAAATGAGAAATTTTACAATTTCATCCACAAAATGAGCTCATTTCAAATTTGATGGCTGCTTCAGATCTCAAAAAAGTTGGGACAGGGGCCTGTTTACCATGGTGTAGCATCCCATCTTCTTTCTAACACAGAGTGGAGGCGTCTGTGCATTGAGGAGACAAGTCTCTTGAGTTTAGCCCTTGGAATTTGATCCCACTCTTGTTTAGTACAGGCTTTCAGCTGCTGGAGAGTTTTGGGTCTCCTTTGACGGACTTTTTGTTTAATTATGCGCCAAGTGTTCTCAATCGGTGAAAGATCAGGACTGCAGGCAGGCCAGTTCAGCACATGGACTCTTCTATTACGAAGCCATGCTGTTGTAATAGCTGCAGTATGTGGTTTTGCATTGTCCTGCTGAAATACACAAGGCCTTCCCTGGAATAGATGTCTTCTGGAGGGCAGTATATGTAGCTCTAAAACCTTTATATACCTTTCAGCATTCATGGTGCTTTTTAAAACATGCAAGTGTACCACACCATATGCACTAATGCATCCCCATACCATCAGACATGCTGGCTTTGAAATGACCGCTGATAACAGGAGGGGTGGTCTTTCTCCTCTTTAGCCCGGAGGTCACGACGCCCATGATTTCCAACAAGAATGTCAAATTTGGACTCGTCTGACCACAGGACACTTTGCCACTTTGCTACAGTTCATTTTAAATGAGCCTTGGCCCACAGAACTCGGCGGCGCTTCTGGATCATGCTCAGCAATGGCTTACTTTTTGCATGATAGGGTTTCAGGTGGCATCTGTGGATGGCACAGCGGACTTTGTTTACCGACAGTGGTTTCTTGAAGTATTCCTGGGCCCATTTAGTAATTTCAAAGACAGAATCATGCCGGTGAGTGATGCAGTGGCGTCTGAGGGCCCGAAGATCACGGCATCCAGTAAAGGTCTTCGGCCTTGTCCCTTATGCACAGAGATTTTTCCAGTTTCTCTGAATCTTTTGATGATGTTATGCACTGTCGATGATGAGACCTTCAAAACCTTTACAATTTAGCATTGAGGAACATTGTTTTTAAAGTATTCCACAATTTTTTTACGCAAACCTTCAGAGGTTGGAGAGCCTCTATCCATCTTTACTTCTGAGAGACTCAGCCTCTCTAAGACATCCCTTTTATAGCCAATCATGTTACACAACTGATGCCAGTTAACTTAATTACTTGCTAAATGTTCCATCAGCTGATTCTCTTATATATTAATTGCTTTTTCAGCCCTTTTTTTCTTTGCCTGTGTCCCAACTTTTTTGAGACCTGTTGCAACCAGAAAATTTGAAAGAAGCTCACTTTGTGGATAAAAATGTAAAATGCCTCAGTTTCAACATTCGAAATGTTATCTATGTTCTATTGTTAATAACATATTGGCTCATGTGTCTGAAAGTCATTGCATTTTGATTTTATTCACAATTTACACTTCGTTCCAAATATTTCGGAATTGGGTTTGTGTATATATATATATATATATATATAAATTTTGTAATTTGCCACAGGTATGTGTTATGGTAACAGTATGTCCTGTGTAGATTATGATTAGCCTATGGCCATGACATTGGACATCATTAGTAAGCCGTAAGATACTGCGTAAACACTCAAGTCATGCATCTGACAGGTCTGGCCATTGCATTTGCATGAATGCATATTGCAGCACATCCTCTAATCAAATTAATGAATAATGCAAAGCAATTTCAGAAGGTCTTGTGCCAAACTCCTTATTGGCGGATGGAAATACTGATTTGTAAAAGCAGTCCAGGATAACCCCCAGGTCTTAACAGCAGGGGGTGGCATCAAATACTTGCCCCCTCAGCTCTCTCTGATCTAATGTGTCCTTGCAATATGAGGAGAAACCTCTTTAAATCCAAGGCTCTGACACCTCAGGCTATGATCCCCCACTCTCAAACACGGAGCGTTCCAGAAAATGGGGACTGATTGATTCCAACTTATTGAGACCTTACATCAATGCCCAGACAAACTCAAAAATAAGATGATATTATCGCTAGTAGTTCCTATCACAAGCCCCTTAAAAGTCTAAAGCTGAAAACCAATTGGTTTCATAGTGGGCCCCATCAATTCCCTTGTCTTTTTAGAAGCAACACACCCAAAGGCAATGAATACACAGCTACCCTTCATTACTTTGGTAAGCTGAAGCAACTGAAATGAATCAACGAGAGGCTTAAAATAATGGCTGTTGAGGTGGGCTTCATGCACCCTACACAGGGAAGTCAAAACAAACAAGCTTGTGCCAATATTTCAGCATTTTTTCGAATCTGTGCTCAATTTATTTTGTTATGCTTGACATTCGGTACATCGAGCAATGCCTTAGTAACAGGCATCTGCCATTACTTTAACACTTTACTGGGGATAATAAATTCAATCATCGATCTCTCTCACTGCTCACATTGGCCAACATCCAGTGGTATTTATCTTATTCTCCAAAACTTTGGAACAAAACCTTACAAAACAGAAAATTCTGCCTACATAATACCCTTACCCCT